GGCACTCCCAAGGGCTTGAGGGATCTCATCCCAGATAGGAATTCCCAGGGTGTACAGGATTGGGACCCTCAAGCCCCCAAGGCAGCTGGAGAGCACAGACAGCTCTGGGCTGCTGGCACTCTTGTGCCTTAAAGTAAACAAGCCCTTGGAGTACTTGTTGGAAAGCTAATTGATCTTTTTTCAGCATGCTAATATACACTGAGACCTTCAATTACATTGCTTGTAAAGCATTAGGAAAGTATTTAAGCAATTGTTGTAAATCCCAATGGAAGATGAGGTAGTCCCCAATAACATTTTCTAAATAAGGAGAGTCCCATGGCTAAAATTTGAGAACCCTGCAAAATGATCACCCCAAGTTGGGTGCAAAAGTACTGCTTGCATGGCAAAATCAAACTTGAGGGGCTGTATAAACAGGGATATTTACACTTGCATTTTAAAACGTTAATCAAATTTTACTTTGGAAGTTTTTGCATGGTATAGCAGTGTCAGAAATGCTGATGTGGGTTCAATTTGGACACTGATTATAGCTAAATTCACATGCGAACACTGAACTGAAAAATACCTTTCCTTTAAATCAGAGATCCTCAAGCCATGGTTTTATGCAAACCTTTAGGTAGTTTAACTTTAAGAAACTTCCCCTCTTTCAGCAAAGAGTTAGCCTTAAGATCTTCTTGTATTGTATTGTTTTAGTAAAGAGTTCAGAGTGTACAGATCAAGAATATTTACATTAGCCTTACTGCCTCCATGTAAGCCTGGACTAGCCCCAAGGTGGGGAGAAAAGTGCCTATGTGAGGAAATTAGCCCACAATTACTATACTGGATTTAGCTCCCTATGTGGATGCTCTTATTCTGTGCTAAAACTGCTTTTGCACACAATCTAATTCAGTGCATTGTGGAAGCTCGAACAAGCTCCACAGCACAAGTACTTGATTAATTTATGCTTAATATAAACTTCCTGCAATTTCTTCTAGTCAAGACACTGAATATGCCTTCACTGCAAAAAGAGGACTCTGTATTATGCTGAGATTAGCAATCTTTCTGTGATATTCTTGTAGAGGACAAGGCACGGGTGGAGGGAGGCTTTTTTGCTTTAACTTTTATATATTTTGTCAAGGTGGCAGCTTTTTTGATTTAATGCCTATTAGGATATTAGTGAGATAAAGGGATGTGCGTGGTTTGATTTGGATTTCGTTTAATATTAAGAGCTGTCCAAGAACTGAGTTTTAAAAAAAATAAATAAATAAATAAAAATTTCAGACTGCGAAGTGAAAAGGAGATGACAATGGGTCTCTTAGCCTGCAGATTCTAGGAAGGTGCTGTGTAGCCTACAGGCTAAATCGTAACATCAAAGCAAAACCGTAAGATTAATTGAAGTTATTGCAAAAGCACAGAGAACACATTCTTGCAGCTCTTGACCACTCTAAGGGTAAAATGCTAATGAAGGCAGCGTTGCAAACTTATTTAGTTGCTAATAGTCTCAGTGGGAATTCCTTTACTTCGTGTCACAAATGAAGGTTTATAGTGATCTATCCATAGCTGGAATTTCATACCAATTATCTACTGTTTTGGCAGAGCATAAAAAAAACTGTAGAATTTGTCAAAAGAGAACAAGGGTCTGTCATTTAAAATTGGCCACTATGTCATTTTATGCCAGCGCCATCCAGCTTGGAAATTTATTCTCAGGCCACCAATAAAATAATATCTTTTTATTTGCCAATTTTAATGGTGTTGATAGGATGCAATATGTTAAACCTCATTTAAAAGAAAAAACCTATTCCTCCTTGGGTGTATAATACTTATTCCAATTCCTTCAATCCGCTTTCTGCTTTGCTAGGTTTCATTAGTCATTGGGATGACATAGAGCATTCCAGCTTAGAGCGTCATGGTGAGGTTACAAACAGTAGCTGGTATTTTACATTGTGCCATATTCACAGATGGACTTGTGTATGCATCCCTCAACCTGGGTAGCTAACAGTCAGCCCCAATTTTTCAAGTAAAATCCTATTTCTGAACCTCAATTGTAGGTGATTTTTTTTTTTTTTTTTAAGTCTAGTTCATGTGCAATACAAACTATTGTAAGACTGTCAAATGTCTCTTCCCACATACTTCCAAGGCTTTGGTTATGGCACTGTTTTAGTAACTTGTTTCTTCGCTGATATTTTCTCAGTGTCTGGTCTACGTCTTTGTGGGCATATGTTTTAATGGGGCTGTGCACTTGCTAGGATCCCCTTCCCACACTCTTAAGAATAGTATTACAAATCAGTGTAAGCATGGATGCTGTCCACTTGTGGATTTGGATGCTGTTACTGACTACAGTAGAACAGAATATTGTCTATAAACTGAAATACTGACATCTTTCTTACTGCTCTTGTACTGATTTATTAGACTGAAAGAATTTGGGTAATTTGATATTCCAAAATCTAAAAGTGGTTTCCTTCTGAAGATGGGAATACTAAGGCAGAATATCATGTGCTAAAGTTTTTCTTTTTTCTAGCTTTCCAGAGATGAAGCTTTATGATGAATTGTTGCTTTGAAAAAAGCATACATCTCTTGGTCATGCAATGAACATAATCTTTGGTGTAACAACTTATCTTCCAGGCTAGGGACAGACATTCAAAAAGCCTGAGACTGAACTGATTCAATCTTTGCAGGTTAGTCCATAGGTGACTGGTAGGGGAGACATGGGGCCCTTCCTGTGGATCGCCCCAGCTGCGGCGGGGGGGGCCCCGCCCCCCCCCCCCCCCTGATAGGGCCATCCCTGCTGCCAACACTGCCAGCAGTGTCTGTGTGGGTGCTCGACGTGCTCCCCCCGATAAGGCCACTGCTGGCATCTGCAGGAGCTCGCTAGCTCTGCCCCCACTGCTGGCGGCTTCTGCGGGTGCCCCCTCAGACTCAGGAGGCACCAGTCACCCATGAGTTAGTCTAACCTGGCTAGGCTGAACTGGTTTGTAACTGCATATATATCCCAGACATGCAGACACATGCCTACAGTGGCTCAGGCTAGAAGCTGAAGAGTACTAGAGGAGCCCTCCTATCCCTTCCACAGCACTGAGCTGAGGCGGGGAAGTGGGGTGTGGCCAGACCCCTGCAGGATGCTTTGATTAGCCCAGCAGGGAATTGATGACCGTGTTTATCACCCCACTAAGAAAACAACAGAGGGACATTACCAGTTGCCTGTTGATCCTGCCTGTTGATTCAGCAGGGACTGTAGCCAGCATGTGGTCTGCTAGCTAATGCACAGACACTCCTCAGCAAGGCAGAGGGGTGGGGGTAATTCCTGCTTAGCAGGGAGTGGTAAGGGAGAGAGAGGGGAGCAGCACACAGTCTGCGCTGGAGCCACGGTCAGGGAACAGAGGGGAGGGGCCAGTCTTGCTGTGGAGCAGAGAGCATGCTGGGAGTGTCTGGTTTATTTTAAACCAGAAAGGGGGCTGGGACAGACATTGCATAAACTGGTTTGACCCAAATCAGTTAAGTCTGATACTACATTCAACCAGGCTTATCTTAAACCAGTTTCAGCCATTTTCAAACTGGTTTATGTGCACTGAACATCTGTTCTGTTACAGCTTTAAAACAGTTCATGTTTTAAACAGATATGTTGTCCTGTTTTGGGCAAACTGCCCATGCCCAGCTCTTCCCGGCTCCTGGTGAGCCAGAGCAGCAGGGGAACAAATGGAGCAGTAGAGATGCTGTGAATGGCAACCAGAGCATCTCACTAGAGGACCAAGCTTCTGTTTGTTCTCATACATGCTATTTTGCTGTTTTGTCCCACTTTTTTTTTTTTCCTTGGTGTTTTTGCTACCAAGAAATCTCAGTAGCAAGTTTTGTCCCTGTGCTGTAAATTTGCAGCACAGGGTCATGTTCTGCATGTGCAGTTCATGGTGCCACAAACTACGCATACCTGCGTGTCTGGACGCAGCCATAGAGACTATCTGTTTCTTCCAATTTGTGGTCCTACTTTAAAGTAGGAATTTGTTCAAGTAAGTAAAATCAAGAGCAGGAATAAGGCAAAAAGGATAATGGGGAAACACATTACTACATATCTAAATACATTTGGATAGCTTTGCTTTGTATTTAGTGCCTAAACAACTAATGGAAAATCCCTGATAGGAACTTTTCCAAAGGCATCTTCATAGAAAGTGAGTTTGAGGAAGGTATTAAGTTTCAATTTAGAAAAGATCCTGTGTATAGGGGGTGGTGAAGGTGGTTGTGATAGAAATGGACAAAATAGATGTAGAAGGTAGCTGGGTTTTTGGTTGTTGCCATGTTGGTCTAAGGACATAGACACAGGCAAGGTTCTCTGAGTAGATGTGATTATCTTTTATTAGACTGAGTAGTTGGAGAAAAAGTTCTTAGCAAGTTTTCGGCATTTAATGAAACATGGAATAATTATTAAGTAAGTCTTTGTCCAGGAATTTAACATATAGTTTGCATTGGAGGAAAGTGGTGGCAGAAGACGGTTTGAGTTCTGATTTCACCTGGTGCTAAGGTTTGATGCATAGGATGAGAAGTTGTGGTAGTAAGCAGTTTATATGGGTCCATCTAGTGGCTAATTTGTGAACGTTTCCTTTGAAAAACATCTGGAAATGGTTACAATTCAGCAACATATTGCTAAGGAGGCAGTAACTATCTTATTTGTATTGCTCTTGCTGACAGCCAGGTAGTTTCCCTGGCTTCTCGATCTTTATCTTTGAAAGTTGTGCTCTTAAGATGCTCTAAGCCTCTGAAACTGTCTCAACTGGCCAATCCTGTTTAACAAGACCTTGCGTGCTGGTGCTTTGGGTGATTTACCTGAGGCTTATTTCTGCAGCATCATTGCTGTTGTTGATCTGTTTTGATTCCATGGTGATTGGGAGCATTACAAACTCCTAGACATGATACCTATATTCTGAAACTTGTCCTGAACTGTAACAAAGATTACCATATAGCAGGCTGCTGCTTCTTGGTTCTACTGAACTTCTATCTTGCTTCTGACCACATATGTATCTAAACTTGAATTGTAGTATGCAGAGGATGGACTTATACACACAAATGACCCGGCCAGGACAATGCCCAAAAAATGGATTTGCGTTTAAAGGTCCCAGCAGTTAGATTTCCTCGGAGAAGGTAAGAATAAGGAACACTCAGAAATGACTCTGAGTATCATGTATTGTAGCCATATTTATTATAACTATATCTTTCTCATTCATATGAGCATTTTACTAGCTGTCAAGACACTCTCCAGTCAGGGGATGTTTCTCATTTCAATGGTCCTTGTAGAACACACACAATATACACTTGTTGACATAAAGTGTATTTTGGGTATTGATTACTAAGGGGATCTTGCATGCAATTTGCACTGGCACGTAGGTATTTTGTCCCAGTTTTTCAGCAACCTTAGCACATCATATCATTGGTGTTGGAGTAACATGTCCTAGAAAATGCAAGAGGAGGACTTCTTCTAAAGAGAATCTTTTTCTAAGTGATCTTAATTCCAACAGTATATCTTGGGATAATGCAAATTTAGTAATCCCAGAGAATGGCAGCAAGTGGTATTCAGTGTGACTGAACTTTTCTTGTAGGCAACTCTAGAATTTAAATTGTTTTGCTTTTTCATACAGACAAAATTCCGGGACCCAACTGAAGCCTCTGCCTTGTGTTGCCAGCAGTACCCGGAAGCTGGGGAGTCTTTGTTAGACTAATTCCATTGTTTTTTTTTCCAGTTTTTGCCATATTTAATTTTCTATATAGGAATATTCAACGCCTAAAGCTAGCCAGAAGAGAAGCATTTGTACTGGAAGTTCTGGTTCAAAATGTCATTTTGACAAGCATGTAGGTTGTAGCCATGCTGGTCTAGGAACATAGGCAGACAAGGCTTTGGGGGTAATTTGGTATCTTTTTATTAGACCAACTCAAATAGTTGGAAAAATTCTTCTTTGCAAATTTTTGAGTATAAATATCTTTCATCAGGCTGAAGAAACATCTGCAGTTGGTGCGTGCTCTTCATTTCATCCAGGAATAGTAAAGAAGCCAAACATTGGTGTGCAAGCAAGAAAGCCAGCCAGTGAAGATGTAAATTTAGGAGTCAGTGGGTGAGAAGTTGGAGGGGGGAAAGGTACCTGGCAAGAATTTTTCCATCAGGGCTAAAACACATTGAATGGATCCAGACCATGCCATGACAAGAAATGTAAAACCTGCCAACATCTCCACCACCCCCACAATTACTACACCCCACAACAGAACTGTCAACATTCCTAGATCTTACATCTGCACCTCCAGAAATGTAACGCATCTCATCCAGTGCACCAAATGCTCTGATGGAAAATATGTAGGAGAAACCAAACAACAACTGCGCACCAGAATGAATGCACATTGGAAATCTATCAAAGACAAGAACACCCAATTACCTGTGAGAGCACATTTCTCACAAGAAAACCACTCTCTCTCCAGTCTCTTAGTTCTAATCCTCAAAGGGAATTTACAAAACACTTTTCACAGACAAGCCTATGAACTTCACTTCTTCATCAACCTACTTGGTACAAAAAAATCATGGACTAAATATAGATATTGGATTTATGGCACATTATAACCTGTCTAACAGACCTGACTCCCCAAGTTGACCTCTCCACTATTTACCAGCTACATTCATTCCCTTCCCCCCCCCCCC